GCCAGGAATTTGGCCCTTTCGTCAGTACCAGAAAAGGGGCAGGAAGTGTCCCCCCCCGCCAAAAAACCCCAGATAAAAAAGCGGGGGAAAGTGCCCCTCGCCATAACCTAGAAAAGGGAAAAACGGGAAAGGGTGTCCCCGCCAGTAAAGATAAGGGGAAAAGGAAGTTTTCCTCGCCAGAAACCAGAAAAAAAAGAGACAGGAAGTTTTCCTGGGGCCATACCAGTAAGAGGCGGGAAGGTTGTCCCCCCCAGTAACCCAGATAAAAAAAGCGGGGAATTACCTGGGCCGTCCCCCCTTAGAAAAGGGAAAAGGCGGCCCCCCAAAGTAAAAAGGGGGTGCCCTTTTTCCGCCAGTACCAAATAAGGGGAAAAGGAAGGTCCTGGGCCGGGAAAAACCCAATAAGAGGCGGGAAAGGACCCCCCTTTAGAAAACCAGAAAAGGGGGGGGGGTGGGTGTGGGGGGGGGGGGGATTTTCCCGGGGGGGGGGCAAAGCCCTTCTTTAAAACCCCCCAAAGGGCCCCCGGGGCCCCCAAATGGAAAACCAATGGGAAAGGGGTCCTCAGCCGGGTACCAATAAGGGGCAAAATTCCCCTGAAAGAAACCAGAAAAGAGGCAGGAAGTGCCTCGTCAATACCAGATAAAAAGGCAGGAAGTGTCCTCGCCAGTCCCCAATAAGGGGGAGGAATTGTCCCCCGTCAGAAAAAATAAAAAGACAGGAAGTTCCTTCGCCAGTAAGTTTCCCAAAAAAGGCGGGAATTCCTCGTCAGAAACCCCAAAAAAGAGACAAAAAGTGTCCCCCGAAAAGTACCAAATAAGACAAAAAAAGTGTCCTGGGCAGTACCGGGGTAAGGGGCCGGATGTTTTCCCTCGCCGGGTCCCCAGGTAAAAAAGGCGGGAAAGGGTGTCCTCCCCCAGTACCAATAAGAGGCGGGAAGTGTCCTCGTCAAAAATACCAATAAGAACGGGGAAAAGTGTCCTCGCCGGGAAAACCAAGAAAAAGAAACAGGGAAGTGTCCTCCCCGGCCCCATAAAGGGCCCCGGAACTGTCCTCCCCCCGGAACCAAAGGAAAGGGGAGGGCCCGGAAATTTTTCCTCTTCCCCCAAAACCGGAAAGGGTAAGGAAAGGGGTTCCCTGGGGGTCATCCCCATTAAGATCCCGGAAAAGTGTCCCCCCCCCATTTAGCAATAAGAGGAAAGGAAAAGTTTTTCCCCCGCCAGGGGCAGATAAGGGGGCAGGAAGTGTCCCTCCTCAGTCCCCGATAAAAAGGAAGGGAAAAAGTGTCCTGGGGCCAAAAACCAGAAAAAGAGGCGGGAAGGGGTCCCGCCAAAAACCCAATAAGAGGCAGGAAGGTCCTCATAAAGTACCAAAAAAGAGCCCCGGGAAATTTGTCCCGCCATTTAACCCAGAAAAAAGAGACGGGAAAAGTGTCCCGGGCCAGTATTGCTGTCTTGCCCGGGCCCCCCCTCATGTACCCAAAAACCCTTTTCCCCCTTTACTTGTATTCAGTGCTTCGTGATCCAAGGAAATGAAGCTGCCCTCACTTTACTTTTGGCTTATAACAATATTAGTATCAACATTAATAACAATTAAACTGATGAAATTTTATTATTATTATTATAAAAAACTAAGCTTAAATAATTTTTCCTATTTTTTCCCCCCCATCATCATCATCATCATAAACATCTTTAGCGCAATTTTCCTCAACTACTTTCATCAAAATACAAAAAAAATTTTTTACTAAATGGACAAAAAAATTCCATTTTAAGGCAGATGGACACACTGCCTAATATAAAGCTCCTGTTAAAATAACAGAAGCTTTATGTAACATCTGTGTTTGTTAATAATTTATTAATAAAATCCCCATATTATTTTAATTTGATCACGGTTTTTTCCGGCTTAAAAAAAAACCACTGTTAAAAAATAAATTTAAATTTCGAAAAAAACCTTTGTACAAAAAAAAAAATAATTACATTTTTTAAACATAGGGAAACAATGTCAACAAATTACATGGGGAGTACAATTCAACAAAAATTATGGACAAACAGGGCCCATGTTTCCTGACTTAAAATTAGTTTTGGGTTTTAACAACTGGAAAGACTTTGACATGACTGAACTTACCCAGCCTGCCCCTCTGATTCCAAATTTTTGGGTTTTTTAAACTTATAAATGTTTCACATCATAAACAGACAATAATCACGACAAAAATTTGAAACATATGAATGGAAAGGAACAAACCCGGGTGAATAAAAGGAGGGCCCCTATGGGCATAACTACAAAATTTCTGTATTAACTTTTCTTAAACCCTTTCAAATTGTTGCAGCAATTTATCAGAAATATTGACCAACCAAGTAGAAACTCTCAAGGGGAATCGTACAATTATCCCTACTAAGTAGGGGCTAGTGAGCCTGGGGGCCGCAAAAATACCAACAGCCTGGTTGTTTCCGGGTCCAGTCAACATTGTGCCGGGCCTGGGGTTTAGGAAGTCGGAAAACCCTGAAAACGGGTCGTATTTAAAATTTTTAGCACCACAAATGCGATTTTTAATTTACTGCCCGGCTGTTACACTGGCGTCCCAAAAAACCAAAAAACCATACCAAAGGGGGGGATAGAAACCGCGATCAAGAGTCGAAAAAATTTCCAGACCGACGCGTTAGCCACTGGGCCAGCTGGCTCAGTGGCTAACGCGTCGGTCTGGAGTTTTATGACTCTGATCGCGGATTCTATCCCCGCCCTTGGTATGGTTTGATTCCAACTCACTAAGATGCTCACCGAGAGGGCGGTGACCTCTGTATCTGTCTAAAAGTAAACAAACATAACCTAACTTGAATAAAGTACATAGAAAAATTAGCTTTAACAAATCAGGTAAAAGAATGAACGATCATCTTAAGTTGTTACAGGTTTACACTTTATTTATAAATACAACCTACTAATAATTACACATGCTTATTATACATACATGCATACATACTTATAAGTACATATGTTACTTATCCCTGTAAAAAAAAATTGACATATCATTCGCCTATGTATGTTGATAATTTTCATTAATAACTAAGTTAGGCTGGAAGGACAGACTGGTAGTCTTAACTCAAATCTCTCTCTAGTTACATTGCTCACCTTCCTCTCTTCCCATTACAGTCTTCACAGTCTGAAGGGAAGGAAGGGGTATTAATACCAGAGAAGGGTTCTGGCTTTATGAAATTGAAGCCACCTTCCCCTTCCTCGGATCAAGACCTCACTACCTCTTATTTCTCAGGTGATGTTTGACCGTCACCTTTTCTTTGTTACAGTTTTCTAGTTAGGGGGAAAATGCTCGTGAAAGCTCTTGATTCAATGATACAGAGCATTACTTACCTTCCTTGAAATATTATAATCACGGGGACCGCTAAACCCGTAGGGATTATGCAGCGCATGTGGGGGGGGATGGAAGGTATTCAGGCTCAATTCAGGGAACTGGAGCACAGATCCGATTCCCTAGATCAAGAGCCCCTCACCAGCGTCAAGGAACCTCCCTTGAAGGGTTCCCTCCTTGAAACATAACCCGATTACCTCACATTTCAAAGGAGCTGTAGGACCCTTACGGGTTTAGCGCCTCTCCATGAATATAATGACAGATTCAAATGTTGTAGTTCTTGCAAAAATTTTTCACGTGGGTTATTTCTTTGGTTTCATGTATGAATACAGTATGAATGTGATTACCATATGAATATGAATACAATATGTATGGGAACACTGTATGAATGTGAACAAAAATATGAAAATGAAAACAGAATGAATGTGAACTGCAGTGCATGCTTCACTCACCGTCATTCACACAGGTCGATAACAGCTGAGAAGTGGGACCAAGAGCTAAGACTCGACGCCATGCTAAGAAAATTCGGTGAACACCTAGCAGGAGAATGTAGATGCTGGGAAGTAAGTCACCAGAGTATATTTGTCCTACAAGACGATCCAGGAAACAGAAGCTGCCCCACTCTGTTTAAGTCAACTCCAACAATTTCATATTCCCCTGACGACATTTGACTCATGCCTATGAAAATGGGTTCCTTGATACTGATAAAGGTTCTTGAGCCACGGAATTTGAGCTTACCCCGTTACGTAGGTTCTGCATGACCTCTACGTGATATACAGAACTCACACACCTCACTAAAGCGTGAGATTTCTGTGAGGGGACTTGGGAGTAACATTGTCTGAAGATCTTATTATCAAGGATCACAACAATGTTGCTATCACAACCACAGGGAAAATGATACATTGGATAACAAGAACCTTCAAAATAAGATATGCCAAGTCAATTATGATACTCTTTAAGTCACTTTTTGGACTGGAATAATGCTGTATATTAATAGGCATTATTAAGGCAGGCAAAATCACAAAACTGGAATATAAATTTAACCAGTTACCTAAATTATTGAAAATGTCTGAGTGAGATACCTTGAATTGTCCTCCCGGGAACCTTAGCAAGGAAGATACATCAAGATTTACACTTGAAAAATTATAAAGGAACTGGTCTCAAGTCTGTAAGGGTATAAAGAGTATAATAAGAGATAACGTGAAGATAACGTGAAAAGGACCACTAACACATAAAGTGAATTACCAACAGATCCCCCCCAGCTGTCTTCAAGAGGGAACTTGATAAGTTCTTCAGGTTAGTTTCTTATCGGCCTGGCTGCGATGCCTATGTTGGACTGCATGCAGTTAGTAACAGCCAGGTTGATTAGGCCATTAACCAGAAGGCTTGGTTTGGCACCAGGCCGCCGGGTGGTGATACCCGAAATTGTCTTTAGGTAACCCTCGGGTAACCGGTTTTGAGGGCTCTTCTCTCCCAGCCCAGCATGACGATCGATTTCCTTTCTGATTGCTTTGATGAACCAGGATATTACTGCAAGTGGCCTGCTACCAGAGACTTCATATGAACATTATGGCTCGCACTTATTCAATATAGGAACTTTACTTCCATTGTATTAAAAATGACTAAAATAATTCCCAGAAAAAACTGGGAACCGGCAGATCTGGTCAAACCTAATTGTTGAATATCTCGTTAACCAAGATTTTGATATCTAGCAGCCCATAGGCATATAGTGCTACCACGTTAGAACTTGCAATGGGTAGTTCTTAATGTTCCTTGTGAAAATATTGGCCTGCATGATAACCCAAATGAGGTTAGTACTTTACATGAATAAGAAACTTTCCTGCATGAGACTCTGCTGGTAGTAAACAAAAGATGAGAGTTCCTACATCAGTCTGTCTGATCAGACCAGCAACCAAGAGGTCCTATCTGGGAACTGGCCACACGAATGATGAATCCTGGAACCCTCAACAGGTGGGTAGTTTCATTGTTGGAACCACAGTCCTGACAGTTATGAAGTGTTTAGATGATGGAAACTTTGTTGGGCCCTGAGGTGGGTGGCACATCACTGTAAAGATTGACATGGGCGTGAGAGGGATGCGCCAGGGTCAGTAGTAGTGAGGAAGGATGAGTCGGCGTTGCTAAATACAGCAGGGAGGAAGAAGGGTGGATGGGCGGTGGTAGGTTGTGCACTGGTGAGTATGGTGGGCAGACAGGCGTGCACAAGGGAGTATTGGACTCTGGTAGCTTGTGGCTCTTTATGATCAGAGACTCATCTACTCTGAGGTCTGAGAGAGTGCGGTTCCAAGACCTCAACTTGGCAGAGGAGGCAGTGGAGTTGTACGTGAATCCAGTTACTTGCTTGCATCTCCAGAAGAGCAGTGTCACCAGCAGCAGCACCGCTAAAACACCAAAGCCTACACCCAGAAGCACCTCCAGCTGAGCAGGTGTCACTGCTTTATGAACGAGAGGTAGCGTGGGTGTGATGTTGTTCTGGTGGGTGTGGGAATGGGTAAGTGTGATGTTATGGGTGTCAAGTGTCAGATGTGCCGAGGTAACAGCATCACCGCGAGGCCCTGTGATCAGCTCCACCTGTACGTGGTAGACAGTCTGGGGCCACAGTGTAAGGTTAACCTCAGGCAAGTCAGTGTAGAGGTGACCCTTTAGGCCTCCACCTTCCACCTCCCAGGTAACCAAGTAGTCTTCACCACTGGGGTGCTGGGGCGCCCACCACACACGGGCGGCCACTAAGCCAGAAGTTTCCACTTCAGTCTTGTGTAGTAATAGCCATTGTAAACCACCCTTGACTTCTCTGCCATTAGTCACAGAGTGTTCACTAAAAGCCTGCGACTGAGACAACGCAAGAGCTGGCATTATGATACTCTTGGAATGAGCGGGTGGAGCGTATGGCGTGATAATAACAGACAGGATTCCAGATTCAGCCACGGCCACCAGCTTCAACTCAGACCCGCTTGGTACATCTTCTAAATTAGTGCTAAAGTCTGCTGTCTGAAGTTTAAGTCCCCAAGATCTGCCAGGAGTTCGGGTAAAGACAGCAAACACTACATGTTCTCCAGGGTTGTCATGGCCCCAGGAGAGCGTCCACTGAGCAGATGAGCCAGTGAAGACCAGGGTGAGGCGTGAGTTGTGTTGACTTAATGGCACTGTTGACTTAGGGTGAGAAGAGTGGAAAGCACATGCTGCTTTGCATCCTGCATCCTGCAATATGAAAAGTTTAAAATTACTTTTCAATATTATATATATATATATAAATATATATATATATATATATATATATATTATATATATATATATATATATTATATATATATATATATATATATATACATATATATATATGTCGTGCCGAATAGGCAGAACTTGCGATCTTGGCTTAAATAGCAACGTTCATCTTGCCATATAGGACAAGTGAAAATTTGTGCATGCAATAATTTCGCCAAAATCATTCTGAACCTAACGAAAAAAATATTTTTGACTGTGTTTGTTTAGTACTAAATTATTGTAAACAAATCTAAAATATATTTAGTTGGGTTAGGCTAAAATAAATTGTTCTTTTTATAATAAGGTTAGGTAAGTTTTCTAAGTTCCTTTTGGTGCAAAATTGTAAGTTTTTACATCAACATTAATGAAAAAAATATATCTTTAAACGTATAAGAGAAAATTTTAGAAAGGACTTAATTTTAAACGAGTTCTTGCTAATTGACCAGTTTTACATATTCGGCACGACATATATATATATATATATATATTATATATATATATATATTATATATATGGGGAATCAAATTCAAAATGGGAATTGACACAGTTACTTTTTGCTGATGATACTGTGCTATGGGAGATTCTAAAGAAAAATTACAAAGGTTAGTGGATGAGTTTGAGAATGTGTGTAAAGGTAGAAAGTTGAAGTGAACATAGAAAAGAGTAAGGTGATGAGGGTATCAAATGATTTAGATAAAGAAAAATTGGATATCAAATGGGGAGGAGGAGTATGGAAGAAGTGAATGTTTTCAGATACTTGGGAGTTGACGTGTGGGCGGATGGATTTATGAAGGATGAGGTTAATCATAGAATTGATGAGGGAAAAAAGGTGAGTGGTGCGTTGAGGTATATGTGGAGTCAAAAAACGTTATCTATGGAGGCAAAGAAGGGAATGTATGAAGTATAGTAGTACCAACACTCTTTTATGGATGTGAAGCTTGGGTGGTAAATGCAGCAGCGAGGAGACGGTTGGAGGCAGTGGAGATGTCCTGTCTAAGGGGAATGTGTGGTGTAAATATTATGCAGAAAATTCGGAGTGTGGAAATTAGGAGAAGGTGTGGAGTTAATAAAAGCATTAGTCAGAGGGCAGAAGAGGGGTTGTTGAGGTGGTTTGGTCATTTAGAGAGAATGGATCAAAGTAGAATGACATGGAAAGCATATAAATCTATAGGGGAAGGAAAGAGGGGTAGGGGTCGTCTCGAAAGGGTTGGAAAGAGGGGGTAAAGGAGGTTTTGTGGGTGAGGGGCTTGGAACTTCCAGCAAGCGTGCGTGAGCGTGTTAGATAGGAGTGAATGGAGACGAATGATACTTGGGACCTGACGATCTGTTGGAGTGTGAGCAGGGTAATATTTAGTGAAGGGATTCAGGGAAACCGTTATTTTCATATAGTCGGACTTGAGTCCTGGAAATGGGAAGTACAATGCCTGCACTTTAAAGGAGGGTTTGGGATATTGGCAGTTTGGAGGGATATGTTGTGTATCTCTATACATATATGCTTCTAAATTTTTGTATTCTGAGCACCTCTGCAAAAGCTTGTGATAATGTGTGAGTGTGGTGAAGTGTTGAATGATGATGAAAGTATTTTCTTTTTGGGGAATTTCTTTCTTTTTTTTGGGTCACCCTGCCTGGTGGGAGACGGCCGACTTGTGAAAAAATATATATATATATAATATTATTTTTAAATTTATATATATATTATATATATATTTTTTTTATATATAAATATATTATATATAATATAAAATATATATAATATATTATATATATATATATTTTTATATATTTTTAAAAATTATTTTTTGTGTGTGTGTGTGTGGGTGTGTCCCCGTATGAAAAACTGGTAAATTAAAAGAACTCTTTAAAAAAAAGTCCTTTCTAAAATTTTCCTTATAGTTTAAAGATATTTTTTTTTCTTTAAATGTAAGAAATTTTTTAATTTTGCTCCAAAAAATCTTAAAAAAAATTTCCCAAACCCTTTTTAAAAACAAGAAAATTTATTTTTCCAAACCCCAAACTAAATATATTTTAGTTTGTTTACAAAAATTTAATACTAACAAACACAGGAAATATTTTTTTTCATTGGGTTTCAGATGATTTGGGCGAAATTATTGCATACACAAATTTTTAAGTTGTCAAAAAGGCAAGTGAGCGTTGCTATTTAGAAAGATCGAAATTTTCTCCCTATTCGGCACGACATAATTATTTTTTATATTATTTATATTATTTTTTTTATTTTTATTATTTATAATTTTTTATAATATAATTTTTCTTTTTTTAACCCCGGCCGTTCCCAAAGGAGGGGGCCCCAAAAGGAAAAAACGAAAGTTTTCCTTTTTAAAATTTGAAATTGTACAGGAGAAGGGTTTCCGCCCCCTTGCTGGGATTTTTGCCCCCTTTAAAATGTGTTTTGGGGGAATTTTTTTTATGGTTGTTTTTAATTTTTAAATAAAAAAATAATAAATATATTATATATATAATTTTTATTATAATTTTTTTATGTCGGCCGAAAGCAAATTGCGCTTGGCTTAAATAGCAACGCTCTCTTCCCTTTTGAAAAATTTAAAAAAATTTGTGTATGCAATAATTTCGCAAAATAAATTCTGCCCCTAATGAAAAAGTTTTTTTCACGGTGTTTGTTTTAGTATTAAATTATTGTAAACAAATCTAAAATATATTTAGCTGGGTTAGGCTAAAAAAAATTGCACTTGTTATAAAAAGGTTGGTAAGTTTTCTAAGTTTTCTTTTGAAGCAAAATTAAAAATTTTTGCTTTAAACTTAATGAGAAAAATATATCTTTAAACGTATGAGAAAATTTTAAAAAGGACTTAATTTTAAAATTCTTGCAACTGACCATTTTAATATTTTTTCGGAAACGACATTTAATATATATATTTTTTTAATATTATTTTTTTTATATATATATAATATATATATTATATAATTTTTTAAATATATATTGGGGTAAATAAAAATATATATATATATAATATATAATATATTTATATTAAATTATTTAAAATATATATATATTATATATATATATGTTGGTAGACAGAAACCCCCCAGGGAAACTACCGTCCTGCCAGAGCGTAAAACAAAAACCTGTAACGTTTTGCATAGGTAGGATTGCTGGTTTCTTTTTCTGTCTCATAAACACGCTAGATAACGGGAATCTTGCAATCCTATTACACTTTGTACATTCCAGACACGCACATCCCTATATATATATATCATACATTGGTTTTTTTCTTTTTTAAATAGCTTGTTTTCTTATTTTTCTATTGTCCAGGGGGGAAAGTGGAAAAGAATCTTCCCCCCGAAGCCATACGTGTCGTATGAGGCGATAAAATGCCGGGAGAGGGTAGTAACCCCTTTCCGTAGACATTTACTAAAAAAGAAAGAAGAAAAACTTTATAAAAGGGGGTGTTTAAAATGTGCGGGGTTGTAGTGCGGATGACAAGAAACAGAGATTGCTGATGTTATGAATGAAAAGAATTTTGGATGTCCGGGCCCCAAAGCAAACAAAGCTGAAGGGGTAAAAAGGGTTTCAGGGGGGGGAAAATAAATGGGATTAAATCTGGAGATCTAGAGAGTTAGGAAAAGGGAAAAGGGGTGCAGTAATGTTAAATGATCATTAGGAAGGAAAAAAGAAAATATGAATGTGTAAATTTCAAAAATTATGTGGATTAAAGTAAAGGTTGGATGCGGAGTGGGTCATAATAAGCGTGTATGACCGGAAAAAGGGGGGAAGCAGGGAAGAAGAGTTTTTGGGAGATTTTGTGAATTATAGGATCTTTGAACCAAGTGAGAGAGTAATTGTGGTGGGGGACCTGAATGCAAAAGTAGGAAAATTTTTTAGAGAGGGTGTGGTGGGTTTTTGGGGTGCCGGGTGTAAATGATAATGGGACCCCTTTTGATTAAAACTTTGTATAGAAAGGGTTTATTTATAGGTAATACATATTTTAAAAAAAAGGGGAAAATAAGTATACAAAAATTGATGAGGGCGAAATGAAGTAGTTTGTTGGATTATGATTGGTAGATAAAAGACTGTTGAGTAGACTTCAGGATGTACTGTTTATAGGGGGGCCCACAGATATATCGTCATTTCTATTTGTAGCTACACTGAGGAAAAGGGGTAGATGGGTACAAGGGAATAGAAGCATCGGGGGAAGAGAGAGGTGAAGGTTTATAAACTAAAAGAGGAGGCAGTTAGGGAAAGATATAAACAGTTTTGGAGGATAGAGGGGGCTAAGAGGCATAGGGCAATGGGGTGAAGGGAGGGGTAGGTTTAAAAATGTAGTGTTAAGTGTTCGCAGAAGTTTGGGTTACGGGAAAGTGGGTGCAGGGGGGAAGAGGGGTTTGGGTGGAATGATGATGTAAAAAGTAGTAAGGGAAAAAAAGTAGCATATGGAAGTTTTTACAAAGAGAGTGTGCAAGGGGAAGATTTTAAGGGAAAAAAAGAGAGAGGTTAAGGAGTGGTGAGAAATGTAAAAAGAGAGAAAATGAGAAGTGGGTGAATGTTATCAAAAAAATTTTGTTGAAAATAAAAAAAAAGTTTTGGAGTGAGATTAACAAGTTAAAAGCCTAAAAACAAATGGATTTGTCATTTAAAAAATAGGAGAGGAGAGTTATTAAAGGGGAAAGTTAGAGGTTTTGGGGAAGATGGGGGGAAAATTTTTTGGGGAATTTTTTAAATGTTGATAAAGATGGGAAAAGCTGTGATTTCGTGTATAGGGCAAGGAGGAATAACATCTTGTGGAGTGGGAAGAGCCAGTTGGAGGGGGGGGAAGTTCGTGAGCGTGGTAAAATGAAAGGGGGGTGGGGCAGCGGGATTGATGGGAAAAAGATAAAAATGTTAAAAGCAGGGGGGAATATTTTTGGGGTGGTTGGGCAATTTTTTATAAATGTTGAAGAGGGTAAGGTACCTGGGATTGGAG